ATGAAACAGGTAAAGCACCTATAACAAGACAGTGACTCAGTCATCAAAAAACTACCCACAAGGAAAACTTAGACCCAGGTGACTTCACTCCTGATTCTACCAACCATTCAAACAATTAATACAAATTCTCCATGGATTCTTCCCCCAAAAGAGAGAGAACATGTTTCAAATCATTCTATGAGGCTAGTATTACCCTGATATCAAAACTAGAAAAATATATTATAAGAAAAGTATTGATATAAATCCCTTCTGCAAAATTTGAACACAAAAACTCCAACAAATACTAGCAAACCAAATCCAGCAATACAAGAGTATACAATCCAGTACATAAGAGAACACCAAGTGTTATTTATCCTAAGGATGCAAGGTTGGCTGAATTTCTAAACAACAATCAAAGTTATAATCAATGAAACACAAAACAAAAATTCCATTATCTTAACACAAGAAAAGTGTCGACAAAAATCTAATGCTCATTCATGATAAAAAACACTTAGCAAGCAGGAAAAGAAGGAAACTTCCTTATCCAAAAAGATATCTACTTAAAAACCACAGTTAATGTCATACTTAATTGTGAAAGACTGGCTGTTTTCTCCACAAAACCAGGAAGGATGTCTGCTCTCACCACATCTTCAACACTATAATGGAAGTTGATTCTAGCCAGCGAAATTAAACAAATAAAAGGCATTCAAATTGGAAAGGAAAGATTACTTCTATACATAAATGGTATGGTCTTTTTGTTTTGGCATTATCTTATAAATATAATATCCTAATGACTTCAATAAGAATCTATTATAACTAATAAGTTCAGCAATGAGCAAGGTACAAAAGCCAATTGTAGTTGCAATAAGCAATTGACAAATGAGATTAAGAAAACAGTTCGATTCAAAACAACATCAAAAAGAATAAAATACTTAGGCATACATTTAACAAAAGCAGCATAAAACTTGTGCTATGAAAACATACAAAAATTGTTGAAACAAATGAAAAATCTACATAAATGGAAAAATTTCCCATGTTCATGAATAAGACCTAACATTGTTAAGACGGCAATAGTACCCAGTACCATCATAGGTTCAGTGAAAACCCTATTGAAATCCCAGCTAACTTCTTTATGTAAATTGACAATTCTAAAATTCACATGAATTGCAAAGTCCCAAAACAATATTGCAAAGTCCCAAAACAAAATAATCCTAAAAATAAAGTAGCAGAATTTAGACTTCCCAATTTCAAAACTTTCTACAAAGCATCAAAAACAGTGTGGTAATAGCACAAGGAAGATCAATGACATAGAGCTGAGATTCAGAAAGAACTGAATCTGTCTTTGATCAATTAATTTTCAACAAGAGTGAGAAGACCATTCAATAGTCTTTTAAGCAAATGATGCTAGGACAACTGGACAGCTGATTGCAAAAGACTAAAGGTGGACCTCTACCTCACACCACACACAAAAATTAACATAAAATCAAAGAACTAAACGTAAGAGCAAAACTGTAAAACTCTTTGAAGAAAACATTGGAGAATCTTTGTGATCTTGGATTTGGATTCTTTGATGTGATACCAAAAGCACAAGTCACAAACAATAAAATAGACCAGACTTCACCAAAATTAAAAACTTGTGTGTCATAGCACACCAACAAGAATGTAAAAAAAATTTTTTTTAAACCTATAAAGTGGTATAGGGGCCTCCCTGTTGGCGCAAGGAGTTAAGCCCCACACTATGAAGCAATCCGCAGCCTCTGCAGCACAAGTTCGATCCCCGGTCGGCCAGGGAGCAACCCACATGGCACAGCAGACCTCTTCTGTCTCACCCGCTGCTCCCCTCAGCAGTGTATTTCAGTCAGTCTGCCTGTTCTGTTTCCCACTCTGTCTCTGGCAGGCCCTTTCACCCCCCACATCTCTGGCCTGTGCCCCAGTTCTTCTATGCATAAATAAATCTTTTAAAAAAAACTCATAGTATGGTAGAAAAAATGCAAATTATATTCAATAAGGAATTTGCATCTAGAACATATGAAGAACTTTTACAACTTAAAAAAAGATAACCCATTTTAAAAATAGGAGAAGGATCTGGAGATTTTTTTTTTTTCCAGAGAAGGTAACACAGGTGGCTATAAAGTACACAAAAAGATGCTAGACATCATTAGTCATCAGAGATATGCAAATCAAAACCACAATGAAATACTACGTTGCAACCACAAGGATGAGTAGAATCAAAGAGTCAGACAACACATGTTGTCAAGAATGTGCAGAAATCAGAACACTCATACCTCGATGGAGGGAAGGTCTGTAGAAAGAAGTCCAGCTGCTTTGGATAAATGGTCTGGCAGCAACTCAAATGACTAAACAGAGTCACCGTATGACCCAGGGATTCTAATCCCTGATAAATACCCAAATGAAAACATGTCCACACACAGAAACATACATGGACAGTGTATGTCCCATGGGCAGGGGATCTAGGAATGCTTGTTTGGTCTGGCCCACCTTCTGGGTTGTGTCTAACCAAACTGGGAGGTTCACTGGAGCCCTACTCCCAGCAGCAAGTAAGAAAACCCCTGCTTACAATGTTCCCATCCTACTTGGGATGTCTTTTTATTTTTAATGTGAGAATCCTGTATACTCTGCTAAAACTGGTCCCTTCCCTCCAGCTTCCTTGGCAGAATTTTTGATATTCCCCCCTTCAACTTATACCAATGCCAGAGACCAGCTTATGTATTCTTCTAAGTGGTAAGTGAAGACCACATGACAAAAGATAGACCAGCTAAACCTTGAAAATGTCTAGGAATCCCATGTGCTGATCACAGTGAGTTTCTCACAATTCCAAAGCACAAGTATTCCACATCCATTCAGAACTTCATGGCTGCACATGAAGTTCCCTCCACCTGACTTGCCCCCTATCCCTACTCTTCCTGGCATCACCTTTACATTTATTCTTTCTCTGTGAAGTGTCTCAGCAATTTGTAATCTCTGTCTCTGCTCTTTTGAGTAGACCAGTAACTAAGAGCATCATGCATGGAATCAGTCTGCCTGAATTCAAACTTCACTTGGCAGTTTCTTAACCACTCTGTTGGTTTCCTCATTTATAGAAAGGGGGGAATAATTCCTCCCGGGGTTGTTATGATTAAATAACATGTAACATGCTTCTAACAGAACATGCCCAGCACTCCATTATGATTTCTATCTAAATCTATCAGATTTGTTTACATGCATCTTCCCCTTCTGGTACCAGAACTTCTCCAAGGTGTGAGAATGTCCTATTCCTTTTCATTTTCACAGCATATAATACAGTGCTAGGCATATACACAGCATATAATACAGTGCTAGGCACAGGGCAGGTACACAAAAAGGACCAATGAAAGGACAAAAATTAATAGTAACATCAATAACATGGAAACCATTTTTTCAAAGTAAATATCAGAGCATGTGGCTTATGGCTATACTAGAATTAGGTATCTGAAATCAATCCTGCTCTAAAAATCCAGGCTCCTCCTTTAACTGCTAAAGAGATCTAGAAAAAAATCCAAATGCTCAGCAGTTACATAAATGATAGCATTAAAACACAGGATTTTACATAACCATAACAGACCTCTGTTGATACCTGAGTCTGGGTAAAACACTAGGCAAAAAATCAGAGCTCAAGAGTCTATGTTATAATCAAAGAGAACAGACTTGGTATGGGAACCTACTAGCACATGGTGAATGTGTATTTTCTTAATTAGTTTTGATTCTAACAACTGCTTAATACAAAAAAAATTACTTATAATGCCTTTACACAAAAAAACAAAATCAATAGAACAGAGATTCCAAAACTGCTCATCCCTTATTCTAATCCCTTAAATAAGACAGTGAGAAGGGTCACGTTTCTCCATTACTACAACTCTCTGAATACATAAAGTTCCTGATAAGAAAAAAACCCATATACTCTTCTTATGGTCAATTTTCTTATTTCACAAGTAGACTTTTAAGGCCAATAGTCTGTTTTGTTTATGTCAAACACTCAGTATCTGATTAACTAGTCAAAGCTCTTCCTAAGTCTTCTCCTGTTGATACAATTAAAAAACTCAAATCTAAAATGTATATTTGGCCACAAAATTTTGCACTCATTTTTCCTCCCAAATTAGAGCTGAACTCAGGAAAAAAAAGAAGCAAAGAAATACTATAATTGTTCAAAGGACAGAACATGTATTTTTCATTCATATCAGCTCATTATATAGAGACTCCCAGGAACACAGCCACATCTAGACACGCAGAAGAATTAAATTATGCATCCGTCTTTTCATTTATCATTACAAGTCAATAAAATATCGAAGATTACTACTCTAACTTGACCCTAACAAACCAAATATGTACTCATCTCAACATCTTCATCCTTCTTGCTAACAACATTCTTTAATGGAAGGACAAGAGTCAGGTAAGAAGCATGGGTAGGAATTTACTCCAAGTATCTTCTTTCTAAAAAAAAAGCAAAGCTATGCACTATCCCTGCATGTAGTTCCAATCGATGAGCAGATAACCTTCCTTAAAAAGTTTTTACAGTCTACACACATTTAGAAAATTTTTTCCTAATCAGAATTTCTACTTAACCACTTTATACTTTTGCCTAAAGCAACCTGTCAACACAACCAGTTTAAATCCTTAACTTCACAGCACTCAATCATTTGGACAGTCAGCATCTAAATTTCATGAAGGTGCCAACTGCACCCTTTTAAACATTTTATGTAACATCCAGTACTATGAAGTTTATTAAACACTTGCAGTATTTAATAAAAATAAAACATCAAAACAAAGTTTTTATTATTCAACTTGGCTATCGTGTATTATATAAACCACTGATCTGTATCTGTTTCTCCAAGTACAATTACAAGAAGTTGAAAACAAAAAAACCCTCATTCAAATTAAAAATCCCGTCCAAGAAAACAGTTTCATTTTTATGTTGAAAAGAAACTGCTGGGCCACTAGCAGAGAGCATGCAGCATGCACAACACTTTTGGAGGTATTTTCCTTACCTTTCCCATTTTGCCATGTAGTATACCAAGACAAAGTAAGGAACGACGTGATAAATACTAAAACAGTGGCCACAGTTCCATTTCGGAGCCTCATCTCATTTCAGCATCACACTGGTTCATATGTTTATGATGATAACCGAGACTTTCTTCTTATCCTGAAGTCAAATGAATACAGTACTCCTGGCTTGGGGCCAATAAAATCATCAAGAGAGGCTCATTTCAGATGCTCTGCAAAACAAGCAAAGCTGCAAGACTATTCACAATTGTTACTCAGGGTTCTCTTCACAGCAGGGCTGTCTCCACAGTCTTCATAGGTTGAGAATGGCTCAGGGCCCTTTCCTCCTAATCAGTGGGAAAAGAGGAAAACCTGTTCAGTAATGCAAACAATTGGCTTCTTGATTACTAATCACCAATATTAGCAGAATTTGGCAGGGTTAAAGTGTATGTGTAGGTTCCTGACATCTAAACAAGTCATTTAACATGTTATAAGGATCCTCTGCATTTTTCCTCTGGGAAAAATGTTTGTAACTATATTCCCTCTTCCTTGGTTTTCTTTTGTCCGTGAAAAGAAAGTTCTGGTTACTCACTTAAAGGGGGAACCTATGGGGTTCATTAAATAAATAGTAAGCCAGATTGCACATTGAAAATGCTAATAATCACACAATTATTCCTGAGAGTAACATACTCTTCACTCTCTCCAGTTTTTCTATTGTGCAATAAGAACATGTAAAAAATGTTTTCAAGAAAACTGACATACTAGCAATATATAAGGGTCAGAAGACCAGGCTCCTAGAGATATGGCTCAATTATTAAAGGACTCTAGGTTTGTCACTGGTCTTGCAGTTTCACCCATAAAATGAGGAAACTATCTGTCCTGGTTCCTCTTTCACGTGTTATCACAAAACTAGAATATTTATAATTATCGCTACTTATAACCATCATAAAGTAAATGTAGTTTCTATAGTGATTAACCTATCCCCAGTGGGTAAACTGGGAAGCATCTGGCATTTAGAAAAGAAGTAATCCAACCAGCACACTGTATGAGCGAGGACCCATCACTTAGCATCACTTCAACTCAGGAAATCCAGGCCTTCACCACCCATCTAACAAAGCTATTGAGAAAATGTAATAAAATGAAGTCTGTCGTTGGCAGTACTTAAGCAGAATTGCCTAGCACATAATAGGTTCTCAATAAATGTTAACTGTATTAAAAAATTAAACCAAACAAAAGGTCTGCCCTCGGACACTTGTTCAATCCACTAGATGCACAACTGGTTTCATTACCTGGGGTCAAGCCAGGCACTCGAGATGTGATTGATTTCTGGTGGCCTCAAGGGGATCACAAGATGCACTTGGCAATATACTAAATGACATTCTACTGAGATAAGTTAATGCACCTCCAAAAATGCCTAACAAGCCTGGGGGCAATTCCCTGAATAAAAGAGTATTGCTGATTAAAGGGGCCATTTGTAGGCAATTCAGAACTACCATCTGAGCTACTTTACTGCAAAGAACTGAACATTACTAGAAATATCCACTAGTGAAGAATGAGCAGTAGGGCATAATATTATGAATAACAACACATATTTTGATGCATTGAATGTTTCTTATACGGTGGGTCCACAATGTTTTAAATCTTCATAAAATCCTACAAAGCAGGCATTATTAACCCTTTTTACACACAAGGAAATCAGTACGGAGAGAGAACCCTAATTAGCATGACGTCAAGGTGTAAGCTCTATCTACCAATTTTTGGCTCTCCAACTAGGCCCCCCGCAGTATGAAGAGAAATGCTAGGGATACACCAAGCCTCAAGTTATGCTGGAGAACCTTCCTAGGATTTAATTTTACCCAACAGCTTAAGTGTGAATTGAAAAAAAAGTATATTCTTAATAAACATAGATCTATTGTGGAATAAGTTGTAAAGTCAAAGGCATTTTCAAAATTTAAACAAAACTCTAAAGTGAATTATATAACTTGGAATTTAATCCTGGCGTGGCATTATATAAAAATGCTTGTATCTTTTTATTGCTATATACTTAGTCCTCTCCTACTTCAGAAAGGATTTGTACTAGTATAAGACCTAAAAGTATAAAGATTATTAGAATAAGCATGCAATTAATAATGGGGGGGTAAAGTGAGAATAAAGGATACTTTTAAGTAGTTTTATTAAATACAAATAAAGCATATATAAGATTCACTATAAATGGACTGAGATAAGTTAAAATGAATGAACTCTAAAATGAAATTAAGCTAGAGATGCACTGTTGATAATGCATGAAAAACACAAGGAATATTAAATACTCCATTCAGGAACTTATTAAGGTCTGGTTGGATATAAAAAATTCTAGTAAGAAGATCTGAAATATTCTAAGAAAAACATGAGTGTTATACTCAGTAAGAATAAGGTCATACATTTTTAATTCGGACTTCCAAACTAATGAAGTTTAACTACACAAGTGAAAACGCCAGAAAAGAACAAAAGTAATGCTCACAGCTCAAACCAGGACAGGCAGTTCATAGCCCTTGTGATTGGCTACCTAAAGCAAGAGACAAAGTGACCCATATTTTTATCAGTACCCACATTTGCAATAATCTTAACAGCTTAATAATCTCCAACACTATCACTTAACACATTTGAATCTGTTAACAACAAAAAAGTTAGTTGTTAAAATTACTAGTCATCTTCTCCACACTGCCCAAGTGAAATGGAACTTTCAACTCAACTGAAAAATGTTTTATTAATAGTCCTTTAAGGGCTGCCAATCCTATTCTTTAATATCAGATACAAAACCTTTATTTTAATGTGTTCTCTGAAATACTCAACACCTCTCATGGCTGAGAACACTTTGCTAAATATTTGGCATAGTCCACAATTACCATCCCACAACAGGACAGAAGTGCCTCAAGAATCAAGGGCACAATCATGAAATCCATCCCTTAAACTATGTGACTTTATACAAGGCATTTTAAAATTTCTTTTACATTTACAAAAGGCTCAATGTTATCGAGATAGAGCTTACGTAATTCTGTCGTCCAGCGCGCTTCAGAATTCACACACGTGGGCTACAGTAACCTGTGCCAAGATAACCTGTTAATAGAAATATATTCTTTAAACATGCAGAAAAAGAAACAAACCGCAAAACATCTATTTGATTCTAACCTCAGGTGGCAACGACACTGTCACCGTCTTACACCAAACAACTTGTCCGACAACAAAAGCACAACAGCACAAGGTATGGAAAAGCAGTAAAAACACACATCCTGCCTGCTGCTATTTCGCAATTCGGTTTGGAAGCAAAGAACAGGCTCGGGAGAAGCGGACGCCGGCATCACCAAAGCAGGCGCGGGAGTGGCATGACCGCCAGCTCCTAAAACACGCCTTCCAGGTGTCACCTGTGCACTTGATGGAATCACCTGGACCCAACCTCAACGGTCCCACCTGCAGCTTCCTTTCTCAGGGGGGCCCCTGAGGCCCGGGGGGATGGACGGGCTTTTCCACGCCGTCCGCACTTCGGGAAATTCGCCCCGAGGGCAGCGGGCTGCCCGCCTCCCCCACCTGGGCGGGGGACGCCCCCCGCCCGCGGCCCGGGCCGCCCGGCCCCCGCCCTACCTGCCCCGGCGGCGCGTCCCGCGGGCAGCCCCCCTCCCAGTCAGACCCCCGCAAACCCACACTTTCCTCCACTTTGCCCCAAAGTCGACAAGCCCCGCCGCGCCGGGCGAGGGGGGCGCACGGGCGCCCGGGCCGCCGCCGGGAGAGCGCGCAGCGCGGGGGGCTGCGGGGCGCGGAGGCTGCGGCGGGCAGCGACGGAGCGGGGTGGCGGCTCGCCGGGCGTCGGGGGCCCGCGCCCCGCCCCGAGGCCCAGCCCGCCCCGCAACAGCCAGGGGCGCGCGAGCGCCCGGCCGGGCCGCGGCACGGGCGGCTCCGTTACCAGCAGGTGGATCCCGCGCCCCGGCGCCCGGCGCCCCGCGGCCCGCAGCGCCGCCCGCCAGCCCGCGCCCCCGCGCCGCCGCCGCCCGCGCGCCCCGCCTCGGGCGCCGCGCGCCCCGCCGGGCGCCCCTCACCCGCCGCCGGCGCCGCCAGCTCTGTCGCGGCTGCCGCCGAGGCTGCCGAGGCCGCCGCTGCCGCTGCCGCCGCCGCTGCCCCGCGCCCCGCCTCCCCGCCGCGACTCCGCCCCCGCCGCTGGAGCGCCGGCCGCCCCGCCCCCGGGGCCGCGCCCGCAGCCCCGCCAGCCATTGGCCGCCGGCGGCGCGCCCGGCCGCGAGCGCCCCCACGCGGCCGAGCCGCGCGCGGCAGGGGCCCGCCCGGCTGTTATTTAGGGGCTCCATCTCGCAGCCCTACGGTTCTCGTGAGATCTCCCCGTCCGCCCCCGCTCCGCTCAGGCCGCGGCGGGGTCTGCCGCGGCGTCCTGCCCTCGGGTCCCCGCCTCGGAGGGCTCGGCGTCTCCCCGCCGCCACATCTGGCTTTAATCCTCCCTGGCGTGTGCACAGGCAGCTCAGGCTGCCAACAAAAGACCCCGGGGGGCCCTCGGCCTCCGCCTGGACGGGCGCCCCGAATACCCGAGTCGGCCCCGCCGCGGCCCCTTCCCCCACCAACGGGGCCCGCTCCCCGGCCGCGGCGCCTGGACATGGTGCCCGGTGACAGGTCCCCGGTGTTGGCTCCCTGCCCCAGCCCCGGACACCAGACACCCCGACGTCTGCCCCGGGCCCTGCGACCTCCCCAGGGAACAGGCATCCTTATCCCTAATTTACTGATGAGGGGACCAGGATTCAGTGATCAGTTTAAGCGACTAGAAAGAAAGAAAACCGGGATTTTAAATATAGATGATTGACATTCGAAAGCCTTTGATTTGCCCACAAATCGTATTAGTCCCTCTATCATAAGTCATGGATTCGCTTCGGTGCCAAGTAGATAACCATCTCCATCGAAAGCTTGAGTGTTCTGCAACCTTTTTCGGTATCCATTTGTACGATGACTCCCCTCAGTGTGACCACAGTAATGCTGAGGTCTGAAGCCTGGTGATGTCACAAAGTGCTACAGCTCACTTTTATTCCTGGACTGAGGACTGCAGTCCAGGGTGGCACAGACTGCAGTCCGCGTGCCCCAGGAGCGCCCGGGGAGCGCGCGCGGGTACCGGCAGAGGAGGCGGGGCTGGGCCTGCTTTTTGTAAATCAGGTTTTCAGTCAGTGCCATTCTGATTGGTGGAAAGTTTGTCGAGCCAGGATGAGTACAATTTCAGTGCTGAAGATGGCAGGGATCTCAGGCATTGGGGGAGAGAAGGAAAGGGTTAAATTGAATACTAGTGGGCGGGAGAGAGAGGAGAGTCAGGCTTTTAGGTCTTAACTTTTGACTTGGCAGTTATAACCCTTTCTAAGAAAGCAAACAAGATGGGCAGACAAGTGGGGTTTAGGGTGAACAACCTGGTCCGGTGTCCTGGAACAGAGAGCTGTTGTCCCAAAAGTCCTCTGGTCTAATCCTGGAGGTGTTCTGGATTGCAGGTAAATTTCAGTTGAAGATGTACTGTAGGCTGGAGAGTCCACTCAGAGTCAGGGGCCCTTTTGCAAGGAGAAGCATTAATCCATGAGTCCGTTACTCTAAGTTTAGCAGCAATATAGATTGTTTAGGAGTATTTGGCATGGTCACTTCCAAGGCGCTTAGAAGGAGTCCTAGACCTGGTGATTTTTCCAACATAAGTAGTCACCGGATTGGTAATCATGATGTTTGGTGTCTTCGTTTTCTGGGAGCACACTATGAAAGGAATTTAGTACTAGTGTAGGTTAATCAGAGTCTTAAATTTTTGGCAGTGATGGAGGATATCACCTTTGAGAAGGGTTGGTGCATAAACCCCTTCATCCAAGTGCATAGGTGTTCCAGTAATAATTTCAAATGGGGATAGCTTATGTTTGCCAAAACGGATGGATCATTGGTATATTTCAATAGTTTGACGAATTGAATTTTTATTATTCCATTAGTGCATTCTATTAACCCCAAAGACCTGGGGTGATATGCACAATGAAAATGTCATATAGACCAGATATGACAAATTGACTGCATTACTGCTGTGCAAGTTATTTTAATCTCAAACTAGTTTTTTTTAAAGTCCTGAATGTATGTACTTAGTGTAAATTTTAAGATACCTCCAAAAGTGATATCAAATAAATGTATGCCAAAACAAAATACAAATATCTGGTTTTTTTATTATCCCAACATGTTTTTAACTGAAATTATGTCAACATAAATACTATAGACCTTTGTAATTTATGTATCAAATAGCCTGATGTGTTAGTTGATTTCAGACACAAACTGATAGTTATAAGAACACTTTTCTCTAATTTTTATTTTTGGGGATATATTCCTACTCTTCCCTATGATGTACACTATTTTAAAAGTAGAACATTTCACTTTTCCAAATCTTAATTTAGCTAAATTTCCTTGTTAATAAATCTGTATATGCATGTACTATATTAGAAACATGTTATATGTATACACACAAAAAAATCCTTAGGATTTAAAGAGCATTTCTTACTTCAAAGTTACATTCAATACCTTTATAATTTCTTTCATGTTACATTTTTATTACATGTGATGTCAAAAGAATAAGTTAAAATTACAGAGTAATTCCTAACTTAAAGTAAATGAAATAATCCAATTTTAACAATGCTTGCATAAAGATCATTGAAACATTACACCAGGACATCTAAATTTTAGAAATTTCACAATTTGTAACATCAATGAAGTTTAGTATTACTTATTTGACCATGCCTCTAAGCAATTGAACACACCAAATAAACCTTAATAATTTCTCTCTTGCCATACAGAGAGAGAACAAATCTGGAGATATTCCAGAGTGCCTTCTGGAAACATCTCAGAGTTACCAAGACAAAGAGTTTAGAGTTTGATTGTGGGAACTTTGTCAAAAGTCTCAAACGGGTTTTTGGACATTTGATGAAAAAGGGATCGTAGATTGTTATGAAACAATTGTTAATTATCCATTTAACCAAAGTGAAGATGAAAGACTTAAAAAGCAGATGTAAAAATATTAGCACACAGACTGAGGGGCACCCTAGACCCCCAAACTCACATGCTCTAAAGAGGTCCAGCCATCCACAGGCACAAAGACAAAGCATAATAAGTGTAAAAGAACTTTGATAGGATTAATATGCATAGAGAACAGAAGGAAAACAGTTTCCCAATAAAACACCCCAAATTTACCTCTCCCCTGTGTGTCAATGCCCCATAAAATAGGGTAGGTCTAAAGTGGGGCCGCTGAGGCCCAAAAGATTGTCATAAATCTAAGGCACCTTCTCATGGGAACCAGTAGGGAGAAAGAGGCCAAGCAAGTCTGGGATAACAGCTGCCATTGGCAGCCTCCATATGTGTCTCTTCCAACTGTCTCTATATTTCTCTTCCAACTGTCTCTATATGTCTCTTCTCCACATGTCTTCTCTGATCCCCCAAATTCAAAGCTGAGTAGCAATCAAACCCTTCTTCTTCACATATCTCTCCTGTGTCTCCCCTGAACTTTTATGTCATGTAGCTTCACCTGGTCATTTGGCCTTGCCCATGATTAAGTGGGGTAGGGGCGGGAGTGAGTATTAATTGTACCTCCCCTTTTTAATGGCGAGTTCTCTGTTATAGAAACATACATGGTTGCAAACAAAACTTAACTCTTTTAAAATCAAGAAAACTAACTTTAGTTAGGACTTAATAAAAATGACAGGAAACACATGAAATTATTTTGATAACACAATGTCTTAGTACTTTCTAGATAGGCTAACCTAAAAGCTAAGGAAAAATATTTCATAATATCATACCAAAAGCAGACAACTTTGGCCATTTAGCAGATGGAAGGAAATTGAGATTTAGTTTCTCTATAAATACATTACTGATATTAAAGTTTATTTCTCTAAATCACTATAACAATCTTATTCAACCTTATCCAGCTTGACCACAGAGTTTCTTTTCCCAAGATTCCTTCCTCATAAACCTTGTACAAGTTTTCCTTTTCCTTTCCCTCTTGTTTTTTTTCTATTTTCCCTTTCCAAAATAACCAGTTTCACCTTAAGGCAAAACTTTCTTTTCAGCAAACAAACTCACGTCTCCATTCCTTATATCTTGTGTCTTACTGGGCACACATGTCCTATTTTCTGTGCATACAAACTTGTTTTCCTTATTAGTTCCATCAACTTTAATTTCTTAATTAGAATTCTTAACCCTTAAAATGTTGATTTCTTAATGAAATCCAAGAAGTAAGTAATTGTGAGCTGGCTGTTAACCAGCATCCTTTAGACTGGAAAACTTTCATAATTTCTAAAGGTATATTTTTAAGGTGGCACAAAATATATGAACTAATAAATCCAAATTCCTTTAATTCCCTAAAAGTAAACCTAAGTTCAGTAATTAATGTTTCAGCAGAATGATGTAAATATTTGAATACTTTTCATTATTTAGCAAAAAATTCTATGAAATATACATTACAAAAAGAAAAAAAACCTTTGGAAACAATTTCCTAAAAACTTTTACATCTACTTAAATCCTACAACACGAGCCTGTTTGATTAATAAAAGGTAGCACATGTGCTTATGATCTCTGCTTTACAAGGAAGAACCTAAGACCCCGAGAGATTAATTTGGCAGATAAAAATAGTAATTTAGATAGGTAGTAAATGATGGAACCAGAATTCAAATTCAGGTCTGGGTGATTTGTACCCTATGTCACCATGTTATCTCTACCCCTCATCTGCAACTGATGAAACTTTGTTGAGTGGATGAATCTTAAAAAGATGTTCCTCTCCACTTTCTCCATTTCTTCCTTTTGGCAAGGGAAGAAAATAAAAGCATCCACAGACATTCTATAAGCAGAAACATGGTTTGGGAAGTGTGGGAGGAGCCAGCAGAGAGAAGCTTCAATTACTGACTCATTAGTCTTATTCAGGAAGACAGCAGGAATCTCACCGATGCTGGTTAGTTGCAAAACTCAGAACAGAACACAAAAAGCAAGCAGAAAATACAACTATTTTCCTTTCAGTGACTTTTTTGTATTTGGCAACAGAAGGGCAAACTTGGGAAGAAATCTAGTGATGCACTTAAACTTATCAT